CGGAGGGCCGCCCCGCCCCTCACCCCCTACCCTCTACCCCCGACCCCCGGGAGGAGGAGGGGGCTCATCTGCAGACTCCGAACCTGACCACTGGAGGCCGGGCCCGGCCACAGCCGGTTCCAACCAGCCCAGCCTCTCGTCCCAGCTCGGGGACACCCAGTCCCACACACTCACCATTTCCCAGCTTCTAGGGTCCCCCCGGCAACGCCCCTTCAGCTCCCGCTGGCGGCTTAGCTCACAGTGGGACTGGCGCTGACGCAGACACACCTGGGCCGTTAGCGTCAGCCTCGCAGGAGACACGTGACCCAGGAGCGTCCACACGGTTGGCTGGGTGTTGCTTCTGCGCCTCTCTGATTGGAGTTCACAAAGACCCGCCTCCCGCATTTCCTAGCGACAACTCAGGGAACCAGCTCTGGCCTGGGGGTGAGAACTGGCCTTCAGGAACGGTTTGTTCTTCTTTTTAAGTTTTTATTCATTTTAGGGAAAGGAAGTGGGGGGGAGCGGGGGGGGGGCGACGGAGCGGAGGGGAAAGAGACAGACAGACAGACAGACATATGAGAGAGACACATGGGAAACCGAGGCCAGGGATAGAGCCTGCAACCCATGTTGGTGCCCTTGACCTCTCCGTTCCTGGCCAGCACTCTAACCAATGAGCCACACCAGTCAGGGCCACAAGAGAGGTTTGAACTGCATGTGTGCCCTTATAAGCAGCAGCTCAGACCCTTGTTTTTAAAGAGAGGCTGTAGTTTCCATCTGTGGTTGGGAAAACCACGTGGAAGGCTGGTTTGAGTTATGCAAAGATTTTTGACTGGGCAGTTGGCAGCCTAATCCACACACTGATCAAGGGACAATCCAAATTCCCATCACACACTTAAACTTAGTAAATACAGTGGGGCCTTGACTTACGAGTGTCCCGACTAACGAGTTTTTTGAGATACCAGCTGTCTCTCAGCAGATGTTTTGCATTGAGTTGATAGAGTAATTTGAGTTAAGGAGCTCCTTAACGAGCTCGGTCTCCGAATGAATTAAACTCGTAAGTCAAGGCCCCACTGTACAGTTATTTACAATTTTAATAACTCTTTAAAAGTTTTCTAGACCGTATATACATTACCCGAGTCTTATCAGATTATTTACATTTTTTTTCTTTCAGTGGGAGTTTTCACATGTAGAGATGTGGCCACACTAAAATCTTTCTTACACTGTTTACATTTACTAGGTTTTACTCAGTGAGTCTTCTTATGCCTTTGAAAAGCGGAGGGATCAATATAGGCTTCCCCACATTCTTCACATGTTTCTCTCCAGTGTGCACTCTCAAATGTAATTAAAGGATTTTGTTACAAGTAAAGGCTTTTTTACATTCCTTGCATTTAAATGGCCTCGCCCCATGATGCTTTTTCATGTATTTGTAAGGAACTATAATCTCTGTAGGCTTTACCACATTGTTCACATTCATAGGATTTCTCTCCAGCGTGGGTTCTTTCGTGTCTGTGATGCCAGCTAAGGCAACTGAATGCTTTTCCACATTCCTTACACTGATAAGAAATATTTCCAGTGAGCATGCATATTCATGTGCACTCAGAGGGAGCTGCGGTAACTGTAGGCTTCTCCACAATGTTTACATTCACAGGATTTCCATCCAGCATGAGTCTCTTTGTGTATTTGTCAGGTACTGTCTTGTTTGAGTGTTCTCCCACATTCCTTACATTTATAGGGTTTTTCTGCTGCGTGAGTCCATTTGTGTGGTTCTAAGGAACTGTGATGTCTGAAGGCCTTCCCACATAACTTACATTCATAGCATTTCTCTTCAGTGTGCGTTCTTTCCTGTCTTTGAAAACTTGGATGATTTCTGAGGGCTTTTCCACAGTGTCTGCATCGGTAGGACTTGTCTCCAGTGCAGGTTCTCTCACAGGTCTGACGAGAAGCTGAAGAACTAAAGGTTTTCCCACGCACCTTATATTTATGAGGAGCATCCGCAGTATGTGTGATCATGTGTCTTTGAAGCAATTTGAGCCCCATAAAGGCTTTTCCACATTTTTTACATTTATAGGCTTTCTCTTCATTGTGAGTTCTTTCATGGTTTTCAATACACTGAAGGGAACTAAAGGTATGCCCACATATGTTACATTTATTTGGCTTCTCTCTATATTTCTGATACTCAGAAGACTTATGTCCAGTGTGACATCTGGTGTGCCTGTTATGGGATGAATGATCTGTGAAGACTATCCCGCAGCCTCTGTATTCATATGCTTTTACTCTGGGACAAGATGGCCTGTTCAGGTTGAGATTTAGATTTCAGAGAAGAAGGAGAGGGAGAGAGAGAGATAGAAACAACGAGAGAGAATCATTGATCGGGTGCCTCCTGCATGCCCCCTACTGGGGATTATTGAGCCTGCAACCTGGGCATGTGACCTTGACCGGAAATGAACCTGGAACCCTTCAGTCCGCAGGCCAAGGCTCTATCCCCTGAGCCAAAGCAGCTAGGGCTAAATATTACCATTTTAATACCATGATTGCATTAGGAGAAAATTCATTTTTTTCCTTATTACTCACTATTTACAGCATTCCTAAGTCAGTCATATATGCATTCAATGAACAGAATTTAGTTCAGAACTAAAAGCTGTCCAACCAGCAAACCTGAGAGTCTATTTGGTCTTTGGTAACTCAAGTTTAAACAAGGTGCAGCAGACCATATTTTACTAAAGTCCTCCAGGACATTACAAGTAATCAGATGCATGTGGCTGAATGAAAATATTCTATGGAGAAGCACTGCTTTTACTATATATATATATAATTAGTTGTTAATCCCCACCTGAGATACTTTTTCCATTGATTTTTTTTTCCCATTGATTTTTTTTGAGAGAAGGCAGGAGGGGGTAAGAGAGATCCACATAAGAGACACATGGATTGGTTGTCTCCTGCATGTGCCCAGACTGGGCTGGGCATTGAACCTGCAACCCAGGTATGTGCCCTTGACCGGGAATCAAGCCCATGACCCTTCAGTGTGTGGGCCAACACTCCAACCACTGAGCAACACCAGCCAGGGCTTACCTTGTATAATATCACAGTTTCAGTTCTTCCTTTCTCTTTCTGCAGGATTTGATGAGCTAAAATGTTAATCATGTGCCACATAATGACAAAGATGCTCTGAGATAAGTGTTGTTAGGAAATTTTGTCATTGTGGGAACATAATACACTGCACAGACACAAAATAGGGCCCAAATATTCTGTTCTAACTACAACCAGTTCTTAAATCTATGTCAGAAAAAAAAATGCAAAAACAGCAAAGAGACAGTAAGCAATATCTACGAACCCTAGCACAATCTTCTTTAAATAAAAGTTTAAAAATGCATAATAGTGATACCTTTAAAAAAGAAAAAGAAAAATTAGTGCAGTACCAATCACTAACATTTTCCTTAAAGTTAATGATAGACACACCAAACTGTCAATCCAGGAAGCTCACAGGACACTAAACATGACAACCAACAAAAGTGTACACCCAAGTCTCATATTAAATTAGACAAAAACCAAAGGCAATTGAAAAAAGCCAGGAGAAAATGCCTTACATATACAAAACAAATATTAGAATTAAATCATGCTAGCAAGAGAGAAAAATAATATATTTAACTTTTGAAAGAAACACTATCCTAGAATTGTGTCAAAAAATTATCAGCAAAAACAAAGAAAAATATGTATATTCTGAAATAAAAACTGAGGTAATTTGACATGAGTTGAAACATTCAGAAACTTACCAAAAGAATGTAAATAATGATACTTGTCACTTTAAATCAAAGATTAAATGTTTTGTCCAGCTGGCCTGCCTCAGGGATTGAGCATTGACCTATGAACCAAGAGATCATGGTTTGATTTCCAGTCAGGGCATATGCCCAGGTTGCGGGCTCCATCCCCAGTGAGGGTGTGCAGGAAGCAGCAAGTCAATGATAATCTCTCATCATTGATGTTTCCATCTCTCTCTCTCTTCCTCTCTGAAATAAAAAAATATATATTTTTAATTTAAAAAACATATATTTTGTAGTTATC